GGGGGCTTTAAAATCATGGAAACATATAATTGGAAGATAGAACTCAGAAGGCAGAGAAAATTAAATCGAACGTCATCATTTTATGGTCAAGGAAATTGAAGCCCTTGGATTTTAGGGAATTTTCCACACAGTTCCTGCAATGCATTCTGGAGATGGTGCTTAACAGCTGAGAGTTTCCTGGCCTCTTTTGGCTGGCCCTCTATTTTTTAAGAGTATCTCTATGTATTTGTTTTTCTGTTTTCAGATAGGGAAAACTAGGTAAAGAGTCTCTGAGTTTGGTTGGCATAAGGTTTGCTTTGAAGTTGTAAAACATTCTTGCATCAAATCAAATTTAACGAACTGTTTTTGTTTTTTTTAATTTGCCTTTAAAAGGTGAATCTTGTTTGTCTCTCAGAGAAAAGAAAGACCCCATCCAGGGCTGAAACAGGTGTTTAAAGTGTTTTCAAATGTGGCAGTATTCTTGAGCAGACAGACTCTCAGATCACCTAGCATGGGAGTGGGGGGGCTGAATCCATATTTAGACCTTTCATCAGTTTCAAATATAAAAAATTGATTTTGGCAATCAGTTGGCAGTCAACCACAAAATGTATTTATGAACAACCTTCTGCATTTTCATAGCCATTCCAAATATGGATTCCATTAACAGGATCCGAATTTGGAACTGCAGTCATGCTGGGAAGTTGTGTTTGGATTCAGGTGATTTGATGGTGTTAACACCCCTGTTGTGTATCACCTAACATGAGGAAGAGCACACTCTTCCCTGGCCTTGCTGCTGATAGGCTGTTGCTAGGTGACATAGGTGAGGACGGGTTGGTGCCAGCACTTCTTACCTTGTGGTTGTTCTATGAAGGTTTGAAAAGGTGCAGGTAAGTTCCGTGGGTGATGGCTTCAAATTCACAGACCTTGAAGACACCTTGATTCCTGACCAAGTTGGTTCTGGAGATCCTTGAACAGCAATCCAGAAAATGCTTGCTTTTGTAAGCCATCTGTGTCATTGAGAATGTGATTTGAAAGGAATTTTAAAGGCCAGCTATTGTAGATCTGTAAAGAGAGATTGAGCAAGCTGAACACTGAGTTGAAATTTTTGGAGAGAATAAGCTTACATAAACTCTCCATACGTTTTCATTTCTGAGTGTAAATCCACTTGACAAAGGGAGAAAGAAGTTCAGCGCTTTGTGACCTTTTCTCCACGTACTACATATTGTTTGCCAACATGAATTCATTTTTTGTGTGGTCCCCTTCTGTCTGTTTAGCCAGCTTTTGTGCAAATACCCACTAACAATTCAAATCCCTTCTAAGGCTGTCATGGTTTACAGTTTCTCTGAATGTTCATGCATAAATCTTTTCTTTTGCTGCGATGTGTATTATTTTTGTATCATTCAACATCATCCCCAGGTTCTTCCCGACCTTGAGAAATTACAGTAACAACAAAAGTCAGCTGTGCTCCCCCTACTGGTTGCATTTCTTTGGTGCAGAAATAGTGTACATTCGTGCATAAGTTCATTGCTATTGATGGGGCTTGGACCTGTGTTCATGTTTTCTTTTCCTAAATTTGCATAACTTTTAAAAAGCAAAACTAGTGGCTTTCAACACCACAGGTTAAGAAGCTGGTACTTTAAGAGGGATAGGGCATCTTCCTTCCTGCCCACTTGTCTAGTAGTGTTGCGGGGGAACCCACAGCTTGGCATTCTTCCTGGACAGGAGGACACAGCCCTTCTGCTATAGGAGTAAATTCTCGGAGGCTAAGTCCTGCTTCCCTTTGAGGCCTGAGGCCAATGCCTGGGGCCTCTCCAGTTCTGATATTGGAGTTTCACCTGTATCAGGTCAGCCCTTCTGTTCAGATCTGTGAAAACCTGCCTGCCACTATATGGAGCCAGCGGGGATTATGTAATGTGTTCACATGTTGCTCAGACTCTTGATCTCAAGATATTTTTCTTTAGAAGCATCTACAGGGGACCTTTTACTTTTAGACCCAAGAGATAGGGAAGAAGGTGGGGACTGTTTGGCTTAATCCAACACGTATGTATTGCATCCCCACCATATATGTGGGTTCAAGAAGATTCAAGATGAGCAAACCTTCTGTTCCCTGCCTCCCCCAAAGGAAACACTATGTAACAACAAAAACAGCTCTTCTCTCCCTCCATGCAGAAATTAAATAATAATATCAGAAAGAAGGGGGAAAAAAGTATATGGCCTCCCAGAACTAAAAACCCTTGTTAGGTAATCATGAGACCAGAAAACCTGTAGGCAAGATGTGTTAGCCCACTGCTCTGACCGCAGACTTCGTGGTGCTTAACTTCCTCTTCCCATGAGTGATCTGTAACATTCTTTTCTATATGCTGTAATGAGATGAAGCGCCTTCCTGTTCTGAGTGGGGTACTTCCAGCGTAGTCTCGTGATTGTCATCAGAGAAATGACTGATGGGCCACGATAAGCCCGCTTTGTTTCTGTATCTGTCACATCTCTCTCTGCACACCATGTCAGCTTCCCTGAAGTAGGTGATCTCTGATTCTTAAACCAGTGCCCCCTGGCTCTACATCCTCTTCCTCCCACCCCTTTCATGAATGTTTTCATCTAAATTCAGCGTAAGTCATTAGCTTGATGAGTGCATGGATGCCAAGGCTGTACCCAAAACCATGGGATGCTTTCCTGCCTCTGATCTCAGTGTCTGCTTTCTTCTGAGCCCATATGTATGGTTCTCAGCCATTGAATGCTGCACAGTGGAAAAGGAGAAGTGTTGCTTCATATTTTTATAAGTCCCTGGAGAGACCTTTCAAATTGATGATGCTATATGGAATAGATGGAATACATTAATTAAGTGACAGGTGAGAGTGAAACTTCTAAACTGGGGTTTCTCAGCAGCAGCACTATTGGCATTTGTGGCTGAAGAATTCTTTGTCATGGGGCCTGTTTTATGCATGATAGGATGTTGAGGAGCATCTCTGGACTCTGCCTACCAGATGTCAGCAGCACCGCCAGCTGTGACAACCAAAAATGCCTTCAGATATTACCAGATGTTCCCCAGAGGCAAAATCACCTCCAAATAAGGACCGCTGCTCTATCCGGACAATCTTCTCTTTCTTCATTCTGTTTGTTTGTTTATTTATTTTCAAGACAGTCTCACTCTGTCACCCAGGCTGGAAGTGCAGTTGTGTGATCTTGGCCCACTGCAACCTCCACCTCCTGGGTTCAAGTGATTCTCCTGCTTCAGCCTCCTGAGTAGCTGGAAATACAGGTGCACGCCACCACGCCTGGCTAATTTGTGTATTTTTAGTAGAGATGGAGTTTCACCATGTTGGCCAGGCTGGCCTCAAACTCCTGACCTCAGGTGATCCACCTGCCTTGGCCTCCTGAAGTTCTGGGATTACAGGCTTGAGCCACCATGCTCATTTCATTTCTTTTAGATACGTTTGCGGACACTTTTGTTTATTTCCTTAATTCATTTTTCAAGTAATGATTAGATTTTCTGCTTATACCAGCCTTTATGTGAGTTACCAAGAATATAAAGATGAACCAGGCATCTCTTTCTTCATGTTCATGTGCATATGAATATATATGTGAATATATGGATATATATGAATATATATATATATGAATATATATCCATATATTGAGTCAAGTTTAAATGTATCTGAAAGTTCCCTTTTTGGAGTATTGTTTCTGGGCTGTCTCCCTGGCTGGCATTTGAGTCATTATGACTTCTTTAATGAATGTTGTGTTTCTATTTTTGTAGCCTGTGTCTTTGGGTAAAGTTCCTTATAGCATGGATGAGTATCCTTAGTTTTTGGCACAACTTTTAACCTTATGAAATGATAATGCTCTATTAATCTGTCAATTTCATCCATGAATGCTTCAACCATCTCAGATATAGCTTCTCACTTGTCACTTTAGATTTACTGTGTTCTTCTTTTGTGATTTCTTTTGTTCTCTTTAACCAGCCACCTGAAGCTTCATTTAACCTGAGGTCATTTTAAGTTTTATTTAAGGAAACTTCTGTTTGGAAACCAGGGTCCAGCACAGTAGAGAGGTGTCCATGGAGTGGCTTCCTGGTGAACTTTAAGTTAGCATGTTCCCGTTAACATTTTTAGAAACTGTGATACAAAAATTGCTCATGGGAAATGAAATGTGGGGCATTTTCTTTCCAGGGGGAAGGAAAGAGGGGTGTATTTCAGCGAGGAAAAGGGTTGCAGATAGTTTCCACTACGTTAGTAATTTTAATTTTTTATGCTTCATGGTGGGCACTTGGGTGTTCATTACATTCTTTTCAAATATATGGGGTGTGTGTGTGTGTGTGTGTGTGTGTATGTGTGTATATATATATATATATATATATAATTATTATTTTTTTTTTGAGACAATCTCGCTCTGTCGCCCAGGTGCGATCTTGGCTTACTGCAACTCTGCCTCCCAGGTTCAAGTGATTCTCCTGCCTCAGCCTCCTGAGTAGCTGGGATTATAGGCACGCATCATCACGCCTGGCTAATTTTTGTATTTTTAGTAGAAATGGAGTGTCACCATGTTGGTCAAGCTGGTCTCGAACTCCTGACCTCGTGATCTGCCCACCTTAGCCTCCAAAGTGCTGGGATTACAGGCGTGAGCCACCGCACCTGGATGTATATTTGAAATACTTTCTAGTACATATTAAAGGAAAGGCAGCTAACTGAAAGTTTGGTTCCTATTTTTCTGCCCTTCACTGGTTTTCAGTAGATATTTGGGAGTCAGGTCTCCACTTGATGAACTACCCACGTTTCTTCCCGTGAAGGACTTGTGGGGGGTGCTTATGTAATATTCCCGGACTTTTACATCTTTTAAGAGGCGCTGCTTCTTGCCATGTGCTGTAGAAAAATATTAGATAGTCACTTGTGCTTTGTGCAGGGTGAGCAGGTTCATCCGTAAAATGGTTAAGACCTGTTCGAAATACATTGCTCCCAAGGATGCGGTGGGCAGGGTGCTGGGATTCTGAGTGACAGCCGGCGAATGCCGGAGAGAAGAATTAAATTGGAGAGGGAGGCGGAGAGGAGGGAGGTGATGGTGGGAGGAGGAAGGGAGGAGCGACCAACCCTCTCCAACACACCCAAGTGACCAGATTCATCATAGCACGAAACTTCACAAGTTACACCCACTGCCTCTTCCAGCAGCTGGGGAAGGCTGCTGCTTCCTCATTTCTGTTACTGGAAGTTTGAGAGATGTGAAGCCAGACGGGAGAAACGTGCGCGCCTTGTTGAGCAGGGGTGAGCTTGAATTTTGAAATCGATTCTTTCCACCGGCGAATCTCTGTGTCGGGTGGTCGGGGGCGGACAGCCTATTGAGGCCCTGGGCGAGGATAGGTGAGAGCCCTGAGCTAAGCCGTGCAGCTGGGGCGGGTGAACCGTGCGCCCCCGAGCCCCTTCCCAGATCGAGCCAGCGCGTCTCCAAGCTGCTCGGCGCGCGTTGCCTGCTGAGCTCCGGGGACGCCGGCGACGTTGGTTCTGGCTCCAGGGTACAGAGATTCGGGCTTTGAAAGCTTCTTCTTTCCTCCTTGACTTCTGTAAGCGAGGATCATTGTATGGGATAGGGGGTTGGGGAGGAGACCGCGGGATCCTCTCACCCATCCAGGATGCGTCCTGCCGGGGGCTGTCCCGCTGCGAGTTGGGTATTTGCAGGTCAGTACTATTGAAAATGAACCCCACGGCAGGCTTGGGAGTCAAGGGAAAAAAAAGTTCCGAAGAAATATTCAGAAGCTGTGGCTCGCGACCGCACCTGGATGGGAGTCCTGGAGTGAGACATGGGAAGTCTCGGATTTCTCGTTAATTTTATATCTGATTAAATTAGTTCAGCTCTAGGTTCCTGGCTGTGGAGATGTGATTTGTTTATCTGGAACATTTTTTTTTTTTTTAATGTCTGTCTTTATGTGACAGCTAGGCTTATCTTTGGATTGATTGCCTAAGTCAATTTTGGGTGGGGTGTGAGAGGAAGTTTGGGTGGAGGGTGGCACTGGGGGCTGGGATCATTGCAAGTGACAGTATGTTCCAGCAAAGGACAAACCTGGCCCAAATGAGGCTTCTCACAGACAGGCTATAGGTTTTATTTCAAGCCTGGAGCTGGTCAGTGGGCTTCCATTGGGCCTGGGTCTGCAGGGATCAGATGGAGGCTATTGGGTTAACTAATGATTGCAGTTATTTCCTACCTGATCAACAACTTAGTAATATACCAGTAGCTGGAGCTGGTTTTTGTTTCTCGTAAGCAGATCCTTCATGAGAATGTTTACAGAATCGTCTTACTTTTAGGGGAAGAAATGAAGGTGAAAAATGTGTGGCTCCTGTTGTATTTATAGCAAGCCAAATGCTGTTTCCCGGGTCTGGGGTGGGTCCAATCAGAAAAACATCAGTAGCTGGTTTTATCATTTTTCTGATATCAAAGTGGAATTGCCTGACTTTCTCAGCATACCTTTCCTTGAACTTTGGGGGTCAGGAGGCAGGCTGCTGGGCCACAGTTCACTTAGCTTGCTCTGACTCGTGCTTCCTTGAAGTTAAAGATACAGATGGAAAGGAAATTACTTTTTTTTTTTTTCCCATTTATTTATTTTATTGCATTTTAGGTTTTGGGGTACATGTGAAGAACATGCAAAATTGTTGCATAGGAACACACGTGGCAGTGTGATTTGCTGCCTTCCTCCCCATCACCTACATCTGGCATTTCTCCCCTTGCTATCTCTCCCCAGCTTCCCACCCCCCACCGTAGGAAATTACTTTTAAACCATATTAGACGTGGCCTAGGGAAGGACAACAGGTTGTATGATCCAATGCTAGAGCCCTGAGTTCTAGCTGGTTTTGGGCTCAAGAAAGGACCCAGTGGCAGGTAGATGTGAAATTGATGCTGACAGGAGGCTTGCGACCCACTCCCTCAGGCCCCCACCCCCCAAGGAACCTTTAGTAACCCATTTGACACTAAAGACAACCAAATTGGATCTCATGATAATGCTGGTGAAACTGACTAATAGAGTTTTATGGAACAATAATTCTTAGCTAGAGAAAGGGGAAATGCATTATTCATGGAGCAAAGGTTTTTAGATGTTGTCACATGGAACTGTTAGAAGATACCATCATGCGGGCATTTGAAATTGGGGTTAATGCTGTTATATGACCATGCAGATGTGAGAGAAAATGGCAGTTTCTGTATTGTTATCTTTTCATATTGTCTCCCCACCTCGCCCAGTAAATAAGCTGGTTCGTCTCTCGTTGGTTATATTTTAAATTTTATTCACATATTTCTTCTTTTTAGAGATGGGGTCTTGCTCTGTTGCCCAGGCTAGACTCGAACTCCTGGGCTCAAGTGATCCTCCCACCCCAACCTCCTGTGTAGCTAGGACTGTAGGCTTGTGCTACCATGTCTGACTGTTTGTTAACTGTTAATTTGTTTAATAGATACCAGACCATTTACAGAAATTTTCCCATTTCATATACAATTTCAGATTTATTGGTATAATATTGAACATGATATCCTCATAACATTTTTAAAGACGATAGCATCTGTAGCTATGTTTCCTTTTTCATTCATGGCGTTGTTTGTACCTTTTCTCCTTCAGTCTTGTTAATATATTATCAATTTTATTGGTCTTTTGGAAGAACCAACTTTGGCTTTTGGTGGTGTCTTAATTGGAATACAAACAAAGGCCACCTCCTTTCTTTTCTTCTTTTCTTTTCGAGATGGAGTTTCGCTCTTATTGCCCAGGCTAGAGTCCAATGGCATGATCTTGGCTCACTGCAACCTCCACCTCCTAGGTTCAAGTGATTCTCCTGCCTCAGCCTCCCAAGTATAGCTGGGATTACAGGCATGCACCACCACACCCAACTAATTTTTTTTTTTTTTTTGTATTTTTAGTAGATATGGGGTTTCACTGTGTTGATCAGGCTGGTCTTGAACTCCTGACCTCAGGTGATCTGCCCGCCTCGGCCTCCCAAAGTGCCAGGATTATGTGAACCACCACACGTGGCCTGCTACCTCCTTTCTTGAGTTCATATTCATTTTTAAAATTCTGCCCCGTGGAACTCTGTCAAAAAAGGCCTGAAAACAGCCTTTGAAAATAAGCAACTGAGTTCCTTAGCTGTAAGTAGGAGGTCACCATGTATTTATCTTTGTATCTGTGACATAGATTATGTTTTTTCAGTTTCATTAAAATATACCTTCTGTTCGTGAACACCATACACAGCGGACCAAATTGTTCCAAGGTGGGTTTTGTGTTTTCATTGAGGCACACCCTGTGATATTGTTCTGGGAAAATGTAACTAGAATTTACATAAGACTTGCTGGTAATTTAATGTGAATTGTAGGTACTTTCAACCCACTTGACAATACAGATTTACCTTGTACGACAGCAGAACGAATGTGCTGTAATGACTCAAGAAGACACTTCATTTTGGTTCATATTTAATGCATGAGTCTGAGCATTTTAAAGTTGTCTCAGAACAGACTCTTTCTGCGTATATCAGAAACGATGCTGGTATCAGAAAGGCCTTGCTTTGAAATCCTGTTCTACCACTTTAGGCTGTGCGGTTTCAGGAAAATTGCCTACCCTCTCTGAACTTGTATTTCCCCAAATGTGAAATGGAAACTGATTGTGAAGTTCTACTATGAATTCAGTGAATAATGAGATTTCATTATGAATATTCACGTAAGGTCTCTATCCCTGCTTTGGCACAAACTAGGCATTTAACAGTGACATTGAGTGTTTTCAATGCAATGATGAACGTTTTCTGCCTCCGACCCTTTCTTGTCCAGTCTCCAACCTTCCCACCTCTCTCCATGCCTTTCTTCCAGAAAGGCAAAGTTACTGCAGTAGAAAAAAACGAAAACCATTTTCCCCATTTGTTCTCTCCTGATCATGGGCAAGTGCGTTATCAGAGTCACCTTCTATATTTTCAGTATTTGCATTGTATATTCCTAGTCAGTTATCCTACCATTTCTTTGCTCCAGTTTTGATCTTACTTTCCCAGGGTTTTTTTTTGTCTCTCCCAGTTTATCTCATCTCCTTGAGGATCTTACCCACTGTTCTGTTTTTTCCTTTCTTTCCTTTTTTTTTTTTTTTTTTTTTTTTTTGCCTGCCTTTAGTGTAAAAATGAAATTGAGTACAAAGCCCAGATCTTGGCAGCGACTGGGATGTAAGTTAGTGGGTTGCTTCTATGAAGGAAACGTTTGCTTAATTTAGTTACTCAAGAATTTAACTTGGAAGCCGGTCATGGTGGTGTGTGCCTGTAGTCCCAGCTACTCAGGAGGCTGAGACAGGAAGGTTCCTTGAGCCCAAGAGTTTGAGGCCGTCCTGGGCAATATAGTGAGACCCCATCTCTAAGAATTAAATTAAAACAAGAAAAGAATTAAACTTGGAGGTAGATGATGCTGGTGAGCGCCATAGCAGTTTGGTATTGCCATTGCATTTTCTGAGAATACTTTTTCAGGCCTTGGAGTTTCTAAGTACTTTTGGGGAAGTGTTGATTGTTTGGTGTTAAGGTTGATGTTGTAGCCAAAAAGGGACAATTAGAGCATCGGACAGAGGAAGCTGACTGGTTAATATTCCCCAACAAGGGAATATAGCATTACTGAGTTTGCCCAATCCTGAGCCATTGGTTCTTCCAAGGGTCTCTCATTTGACAAGCTCCTGGGGTATTAGGACCTTGTCCTATGTAATGGCATAATGAGTTAGCGTTTACTTATGCATCTAGTATTGCAAGGGACTGGACTGGGGATGGGAAGGGATTGTGAGCTGGGAAACGCCTTCATTTGCTTTCTGATGCTATGCTAAAGTCATTCTGCTTTGCCCAAGGAGTGAGTCTTGGTTTACATTTTGGGTAATGAATCAGCTTCAAGTGTGGAGTTATTTTCAATAAAGGCAGATTGACTAGCTGTGCCTGGTCTGGCCTGCCCGCGATGACCTGGTGGTGCTATTTTGTTCTAGCCGTTGCTTTCATGAGAATAGAGAACGAGAAGGCGACACCCGCTTTTCCGGTGTTCGTATTTTGCAACACCCGCTTCTCCGGTTTATTTTGGTGCCGTTGCTTGAGAACAAGTGTTAGCATGGCTTTCACTGGTAAAGCTTTTAGGGGAGAGATCATCACTTTTGGAAAGTTTTGTTTCCTGAATGGTTCAGGGTGGATTGATTTGTGAGCTCTTGTACTGAATCGTGAAGCTGCTTCCCGTACCTGTAGTCAGATGCTTCAGTATTGCATAAACCGTGAGATTTTGGTAGGCAAGAATCACCACAGTCGAGGTGCTTTCTACAAAGCTATAGATAACTAAGCCTGGTAAATGCTTCTTTTGTTTATTTGTTTATTTATTTATTTAGAGATGAAGTTTTATTCTTGTTGCCCAGGCTGGAGTGCAATGACGCAATCTTGGCTCACTGCAACCTCCGCCTCCTGGGTTCAAGCCATTCTCCTTCCTCAGCCTCCCGAGCAGCTGGGATTACAGACATGCACCACCACGCCTGGCTAATTTTGTACTTTAAGTAGAAGCTGGGTTTCTCCATGTTAGGCTGGTCTGGAACTCCTGACTTCAGGTGATCCACCCGCCTTGGCCTCCCAAAGTGCTGGGATTACAGGCATGAGCCACCGCGCCCATCCAATGCTTCCTTATTAAAATATGAATTGCTTATGGAAATAACAATACTAGATACTAATGTACTGAGTGTGTACAACATATGAGGTACTTTTCATGTGTTGTCATATTAATGTTTCTGAAGATAATCTTGCAGTCTCTAGAGGTATATAAAAAAGAAGCACAAATCCCATTACTTTCTTATGTTGCTCTTATAGGTGGAGTCACTGTGGACTGAGGCCCACGTTTCTGCACTTGAATCCCAGGAAGGAGGAAGAGAAGGCTGGTTGGTACCATGGGGTATGATGCTCTGAATCCTAGTCTCTCACCTAGGATGTGAGCAGTCCCTGCAGATGGCACATTTGGAGGTCTTGACAAAGCTTCTTCTGTCTCCAATGGGGTAAGTGTGGCATTTGCAGAAGGCTGGAGAATGAGGACTGAAGCTTTTAAAGTCTTTATTATCTTGATCCTGCCCAAATCCACCTTTTTTGGGGGACAATAGAAAGTTCATTGTTTGTGACAATAGTTTTGGTGGTTAAAGGGTTGCTGAGTTTCCCCAATTGCAATCTGAGGCTTTGAAATGGGTTTCCTGGGAACCTTTCCCATTCTTCCTGGGTGGTTCCCATGGTTATTTTGTTTTGGAGTTGGCCATGCATAATCCTCTGTCTTCCTGACTTTTCTTTTGCCTGCCCCCGTGATAGTGGGAAAAGGGAAGAAGGAATTGATTTGGATGCGGCTGGGGAAACTTGGTATCAACGTGCTGGTTTTGAGACTGATGGGCGTGGGTTCACCTCAGTTTTAATGAGACAGGGTCAGCATTGATGTAAACTGCTGAGTGCTTTTGTTCAAGTGGAATATTTCATGTGGGTCCCCCTGCTGCGGTGAAACTGGACGTCTTTATTGCATGACAGGCTTGGGGCTTTCACAGAACGGAGCAAGTGGTCCCTGTGCAACGCTCGCAGTTACTCCACGAGGAGAAATGTGCTTCAGGGGCCGGGCGCGGTGGCTCGCGTCTGTAATCCCAGCACTTTGGGAGGTCGAGGCGGGCAGATCATGAGGTCAGGAGATCAAGACAATCCTGGCCAACGTGGTGAAACCCTATCTCTACTAAAAATACAGAAACTAGCCCGGTGTGGTGGCGAGCACCTGTAGTCCCAGCCACTCAGGAGGCTGAGGCAGGGGAATCGCTTGAACCTGAGAGGCGGAGGTTGCAGTGAGCTGACATCGGACTACTGCACTCCAGCCTGGCGACAGAGTGAGACTCCATCTCAAAAAAAAAAAAAAAAAGAAAAGAAAAGAAATATGCTGCAAAGATCCCCTCCCTACTTCCTGTATGTGGCACAGACCCCTTCTAGGGAATTCCAGCAGAAAGGGCTGTTGTACTTCAGTTTTCCTTTGCTAAGTGGGAATGGTGATGTCTGCCCATGCAGTCCCCGTTTACGTCCTAGGAGGAGAATGACGTCGACCAAAAGGGGCTTTCTAACTATTCGAAGTTGCCCTTGTTCTTTTCAACTTTGCCTTCCTCTCGTGGACAAACCCATCTCCACCTTGTTAGCAGGTGACATCGGGATGCATTATTTTACCCTTACCAGGTTTGGCTCTTATGTTGGTTGGTCCAGAATGTGAACACAGCAGGAGACTGTGGACTTGAGAGAGAGCAAGAATGACAGATGCTTCCCGAGGTGTGGTTTTTGTAACTTTTAGCGTTTCCCACCCAGCATTCGGGTCCTGCATTGCAGATCTTGCTGGGACTTGCTCCTCCAGTCTTACCTGCTGCTCCGCTCTGCCTGCACCCAGACGCACAGCGGAGTAGCCACTCCCTTCTCTGAATGTACATAGTGGCTTGGAGCAAACTTCCTTTCAAGGGCTCTCTGGACAGAGGGCAGATAAGACCTCTGTGTGTGCACTCTTTTCAGGGTTAGCCCTTGCTAGGGATGCCCTGCAGGTACAGGGACTCCCAGGTAGTTGGTGAAAGGGAATCCAGCCCCTACGAGCACCCTCCAACAGAGAGTGGAGCCAAAGCTCTCACTTTTCCTGTGATAATACAGACTCATTGTATTATCATAATTAGGTTTCATGCCCTTTTCAAGGGGTAAAAATAATCATATAAATAATAATGGGCCAGACGTGGTGGCTCACACCTGTAATCTCAGCACTTTGGGAGGCTGAGGTGGTCAGATTACTTGAGGTCGGGAGTTTGATCCGGCCTGGCCAACGTGGTAAAACTCCATCTCTACAAAAATTAGCCGGGCATAGTGGCCCGTGCCTGTAATCCCAGCTACTGGGGAGGCTAAGGCTGGAGAATCGCTTGAACCCAGGAGGTAGAGGTTGCAGTGAGCTGAGCTCACACCACTGCACTCCAGCCTGGACGACAGAGCCATACTCTGTCTCAAAATAGTAATAATAATACCAATAACAACAACAACCGCCCTTTGGAAACACCAGCTGTCCTTGTTTGGCCCCTATCCTTTGGGTTCCCTTCACCTGTCTATTACATTTCCTTTCCCTGAGTGCTTTCACCCCTGCCCTCTTTGTTGGAGGGTGCCCACAGGGGCTGGATTCCCTTTGACTAACTACCCGGTAGTCTCTGTACCCCCGGGGCATCCTGAGGAAGGGCTAACCCTGAAGGTGCACGTATTCCAGGCCAAGCTGAGGTCTTATCTGCCCTGGGCCCAGAGTGTCCCATGATTTCTTTCCCTTCAGGATCTCCTCAGCCTATTTTCTGTTTTTCTCTGAAAACACTTCCTTTTTTTTTTTTTTTTTTTTTTTTTTAAAATGGAGTCTCGCTCTGTCTCCCAGGCTGGAGTGCAGTGGCGCAGTCTTGGCTCACTACAACCTCCACGTCCTGTGTTCAAGCGATTCTCCTGCCTCAGGCTCCGGAGTAGCTGGGATTACAGGCACACACCACCATGCCTGGCTAATTTTTGTGTTTTAGTAGAGACGGGATTTCACTATGTTGGTTGGGGTGGTTTCGAACTCCTGACCTCGTGATCTGCCCGCCTCTGCCTCTCAAAGTGCTGGGATTACAGGCGTGAACCACCGTGCCTGGCCAGCACTTCTTCTTCTAAGTAACCTATCCAAAGCAATAGCATTGGGAAATGTGGTACCAGGATTTGAACCCAGACAGCCTAGCCCCAGAGTCTGGTCTCTTGACCACTTTGCTATTGTGTGTTCCTCTGAGGTGGGCTGCTTGGACTTCTCTTTATACTTGCCCCAGCATGGTTCTAGTGACTGCCATGGTCTGCTTAGTAAATGCTACCTGAGTGAGTGGCCACACAACGCACCGGAGTCAGCCTTCCTGAGTCCTGTCTCAGGGTACCTGTCCTTGTCAGTTACCCCCAGTGGCCTCCCACCTGCTCTGTGCCGATTCAGATTTTACCTCTCCTTCAGGGTCAGCTCATGTCCACCTCCTCCTGGCTGCCTTTCTGGACTGCCCGGCCACTGTGATTTTTGCCCCTCAGAACCAGCGTTCCTTCTCAGATGATGTTACCCTTCAGCTCTCTCCCTGAAGTAGGATCATGCGTCCCTGAGAGCTGTGACTGTACCACCGTGTTAAGGGATTCTTTTGGGATTAAAACCTGGTCAGAGCTGTCTGAAGAAATGGCAGTGTTCCTTCCAGGTTCTGTGAGCAAAGACACATAATGAGGTTAAAGAGCAAAACTGAAAAAAAAAAAAAGCAGGGGCAAATCTAAAAATTGTCACCCCATTTCTGTGTGAGCCTGTGTGTGTATTTTCACGCTGCAGCTGCTCAAGTTGAGTCATAGAGTGGATGTGTCATCTCTTGGCTTCAGGCACAGTGGCTAGCCCATCTTCCCCCTGGAGGGAGCTTAAGCGCATTTATGTGATGAATAATGTGGATTCACCCCCAATACTTGGGATGCATTTCAACAGATTTCATGCAGATGGTAGGTGAAGCATGTCAGGCATCTTTTGTCCCCCGTTCGAAAGATAACAGAAATACCCCCAGCAGAGTCAGTGCACTTAGTTTTAGCTGATGGCCGGCCAAACGCTGCCCAGGGGTGTCTCGAGCTGTGTTGGACATGGTGGGTGCACCTCGCCATCCTAAGGCAGTGGAAGGAGGGCTGGGGCTGGAAAGGAAGATGCAAACGTTGAGCGCCTACTGTGTGCCTGGCATTCTTCTGCTTTGTGATCTCTAATAGAATACATGATTGCACTCACAACCCCTCTGCCTGTGCGTATTCTCATTTCCAAGTCTACCTGGTGGAACCCAGGTAGCTTGACTAAAATCTCGCTATTGTGGCGTTGACCCTGGACTTGAACCGTGTTTTATCTGACTTCTAAACTTGTGACTGTTCCCACACATCTTGACCTCTGGTTCTGAATATAAGCAGAGGCATTTAGATGAGGATGTCTAATGGTCATATTAACTGTAAAATTCGGAGACTCTTGAGTTTCTTTGTGTGTATGTATGTGACGGAGTCTCCCTCTGTTGCCCAGGCTGGAGTGCAGTGGTGCTATCTTGGCTCACTGCAACCGCTGCCTCCTGGGTTCAAGCATTCTCCCGCCTCAGCCTCCCAAGTAGCTGGGATTACAGATCTGTGCCACCACACCCAGCTAATTTTTCTATTTTTAGTAGAGACGAGGTTTCACTGTTTTGGCCAGGCTGCTCTCAAACTCCTGACCTCAGGTGATCCGCCCGCGTCGGCCTCCCGGAGTGCTGGGATTACAGGCGTGAGCCACCACACCTGGCTGGAGTTGATTTCTAATCTGAATCTTTTCTATGTTATCCAGTTCCTCTTAGCACTTCACTATGAACTTGTTAAAGTCTTTATTGTCAGAAATACCATGTTTAGGTTTAACTTTGGTGGGGGGCAGTCAGGTAATATTTTAAAAACTGCAAAATTAGGGATCTCATTTTATATTTAGATGCTCAATGCTCATCTGCAGGAGAAACATCTGTATCGGGCTGGTTCTTTGAACACCCTCAGGGAAGTTAAAGAGCTTGATCTTTCTCTTTGGGAACCGGGAGCCTCTCCGGGTAGACGGAGGACCATTCTCTCACTGTCTTGTTTTGTGGCACAAACGGCCTGGGTCTGATGCAGGATACCCTGGAGCCTTCCCTGGCCTGTCCCTCTCCTGCCCACGTAGCATAAACACTGGCATGGCAGGGACAGATGGCCACTCCAGGGACTCTTTGGATGTCACATTTGGTTGCCTGGGTAGGGGGTAGGGTGGTTGCAGCCAATCTCCACTGGGGGGAGGAGAGGCCGACTGGGAAATACCCCTTGACAGTGGGTAAACACAAGCTCACCTCCGGAAAGGCCAGGCGCCCCGGGACCTGTGCAGGCTGGGCGGTAATGGAGTCAGATGCACATAAGCGTGTTTGGCTTGGGAAGAAGCCAGTCTGCTCCAAGCACAGCCTTTTCTCTCTGCTCCTAA